ATGCTGAAATCAATAGACCAAACCTGCAACAATATTCACGGTCTGCTTACCTACCAACGAAAAATCGTCAACATTCACGTTACAAAAGATGCTCCCGTTCGTCTCAAAATCGATATGGAACTGACGTCGCAATTCTCCTCTACACTGAAACAACACTTCAGTGTCGAAGGGATGGTCTGTCATCATGGCTTTGATCGGAATGCAGCGCAAGCCGCCTGTCGTTCTCAGAAGAAGAAACTGCAAATGTTTTCACCAAACTACGAATGGGAACCATCTTCAGACGACCTTCACGATAAATGTTACTTTGAGTACAACAGTGATCCTTTTCTCGTTCCATGTCAGTTTGTCTTGGATAATTTCAATTGTACAAGCGATGCAACGAGTCTCAATGACTGTACGTACACACCGTTGTTTCAACATCACTGTACAAATGATATGCATGTCGGAATTGGATGTTCATAAGGTGGTTCGATCTTTCAGTAGTTTAGGTGAACACGAACTAGACTGCCACGTTTTTTCGTATTTTACGCTGTTGCTCTTTTTTAATCAAGAATAAATAGTTCAAAAGTTTTCAGTTTAATTCCTAAGAAAATGCTCTTGGGTACATTCATCTCTTGCGAATCGAATGATTCGACGAAATTAGCAGAAACTTGTAACATCAGAAGCACGGTTTCTCGCCTGCTGCCAGCATTTTCGACGACCATTTCACGTCAGAAGAGATTTGTTTGTTAGCCAAATCGGCTTGGATCGCATTAATAATGACCCGACCTTTGGGATGCGATGGGTTACATCCAGATTGATTTGCGGTACTGTGTGATGGATGAGCACACCAAACCTTCTTCTCATATGGCATGTTTGAAATTGTTCAAACTAATTAGCGTAGTGGCAAAATGAGTTTTGGAAACAGTACGTTTTGATGACTCATATGTCCACGCTATATGTAGATATTCAATGGATCAAATTCACAGTTGATCCTCTACGATATACAGACATCACTGAAATAGTTTTACGTCAGAAATTACATGAAATTTCAATGAAAAAATATCATCAAATGGCCACATGGTATCAATTGAAAAGTTACGAAATGCCTATTGGCGTCGTTTGATTTTGAACAAATCGAGACATGCATCGACAAACAACACTATACGAACAAATCGATGTTGGCCAGCTCCGCCTCGAACTAACTCGTTTCAGTTTTCGCTGTTTTCATGAGAACAAATAATGACGAGCGGTGTGAAAGTCTGCACAAAAGTAACTGCATAGTTGATTCAACTTTTCAGATCGAGCGGATTATCGACTAATGATAGTCGATCTACATAGATCTGGTAATAATTTTACAAGATCATCAGAACGATCATTCAATAATAATGGGTGTATTATATTTTTACTACTTATTTTTTGTCGGGTAAATGTCGATTATACAATGCTTTTGATTGATACAGATGCATTCATTCACTTGTGTTAGATGCTGAAAATCATAGTTTAATTGCCGTGCTGTATCTCTTGTGTTTTGGACATTTCTATTATCAACACGTATCAGTGATCCACGAAGAGCTAACTCATTTCATTTAAACAAATCCCAGAAATGGTTCATTCTGCTCTTATCACCATTATCACGAACATTATGACCACCATCAGTCAACACAATCAATTTTTGTTCGCCGACATTTCCAAGAAATTCATCATCTTTTTTTAAATCTTCGAATTTTTCATAACATCTGGCTATGGAACCAAATAGATCTGTGTCTATACCATTAGCTTCTAATGGATCCATAGCAGTGGTATGTTCTGCGGCAATATTTTCAAAACCAAATATTATTAATGTAGGTGTATCAAATGTAACTAGACAAACTTTGTCTGCACATTTTAAACGATTTTTATATCTGAACAATAAAGTTTGTATACATATATATGGCGATGATCAGTCCGGCCGGAAGACCTTTTGGGGCATCCGGGAGAATTGCTATAAATCAGTTATCACGATTCTCTCAGAGCTGTAAAACATCTAATTTTGTAGAAAAATGTTTGCTCTACAAAATGCATTTGTTAAAAGAATTCCAGAATAGGGGTGGCACTTTACTGTTCTTTACCAAGTGATAAGTAATAAAACATATTAGTTATTTCCTGGAAACAAGTAATAAATCTAATTACTTTATTACTTATTACTTTTTTCAAGTAATAATCTTTTATTACTTTACTTATTACTGATAAGAAGTAAAGTAATAAAAAGTAATAAGTGCAGAATGAAAAATTATTACATAAAGAAGTAATAAGTAATAAAACAGCAAGATTTATTACCTTTTTACCGGTAATAAGTAACAACCGTTTATTACTTTTACCGGATAATGTAATAATTGGTAAAAGTAAAGTATCACCCCTAGTGGCGCGCACTTGGATTCATATATTTTTAATGACGTTCTTCTTAACGTATGTAATATACATAAAATATAAAATAAAAAAACCTAAAAATGAAATTTTAAAAAATAAAATAAAACAAATATATAAAATATTAGAATTTTATGGATCTTTCAATTCTTTTTTTTTCTAAGATCATCAAGGCTGGAAAGCCACGATACTAAGTAAAACCGTATGAAATAAACTATAAACTATTTTAAAAATTCTAAAAAAGATTAAACATCCATTCAGCGAAATTCATCAATAGAATTGTCAAATCATAAAAATTTTCATCAAACCAACAAGAGTATCACTCTATCATCCGGTTTACTACATGTATATCAAGTCAACGGCTGTACGGAGTGGAAATGGTCGCCAATACATTCGTTCGGGAAACACCCCTTTCAATATTGGCTCGCCAAATCACTGGTTGACTACATTCGTCTCTTTGTTTATCCGTTATTGTATTCAATTCTACTTTACATTATGATTGTACCACGTCCTGGCTTTAGCCATTATTATGCTGTTCTGTTATTACTGTCTATGTAAAAATACAAAGTTAGTGAAAACTAACGCTTCACACTAGCAGTTTTCACGAGCATTTTTCCGTGCGATTTTGCTAAAATTTCTCCATGACTGGTATTACGAATATGTAGAAACTTCTCGAGTATTATGCATAATACGTCTAAGTACATGGAATACCGTCGTGTACTTAGGGATGTTTCGAACTTGAACGTTGAAGTTCGAAAGTTCTACATCTAATTTTTCTAATTTCGGTCGTCGAGAAAGGCGTGAACTGCAGGATGGAAAAGCAATATTACTCTTGAAACACTAAATATACTGGAAAAAATCCATTTTCTCTCAGTAGACGGCGCTAAAGACCAACCAACGTCGAAATGCGAAAGTTATATCTCGTAAACTACAGGAGACAAACGGTTGACTTGTAGCCCAGTGTAGATAGACAAAATAAAAAAAAAAATTTTAAAATTGCTTCACAGCGAATATATTTTCTTCTTTTTACATGTAGAAATGGACGATACAATGGCCATGTCATTCACTCGTATGAGTCACACGTTAGACAATACGTCTCTTTCTCTTTCTTTCATCACCGTTAGGGTTCTGTCATAAAAAAGAATCAATGTCATTCACACATCTATATAGAATGCTCGGTTTTCTTTCTTATCTTAAAACAAATATTTATTGTTACTTGTGCAAGGAAAAATAAAAGAGGGTTAAAATTGAAGTCAACCATGTGGAAGATATAATAATATTTATTTGCTTCTACCGTTTCATTTTCGAATTTGCTCAGTATACTTATAGCTTGTTTTAGAAGTTTAGTTTTTTCAGTTAGAGAACTAACAAGAGTTAAAAGCATATTAATCGTGCTAATCTTGTCCCGGTTCAAAATCAAAAAGGTTTTGCCTTTTTCGGGTTGCTCAAATGATAATTTTTAGTTTTTTTAAAGCTCAGTTATAGAAATTCCATAAAAATTTGTTTAAATTTCGCAAAAAATCTTCGATTCATCTTAAATATTTGAAGTTTTTCTTCAGAACTTGAAATTTACCATAAACATTAAAACTGAAAAAATGAAAGAACCGATCCGCAAATGAGAGTTTCTCCGCTGACATTCGGAAAGAATTTTTGACTGGAGGACCCTATCTGCATTAGAAGATATCACTCGTTTTATAGTGTGTTGGACGAGCTGAAAATCTAACAAAACTTAACTTTATTTATATTCAAATGAAAGCGGCTTCCAATTTTGTTCGTATGACGCAACAATGAAGTCTCTAGCACTTTTTACTTCTTCGTGGTAAGCGTATCCCAGAGACCTACACTGGCCCGTCCTGAATGCTGAATCCGAATTTCAGGTTAGTTTGGATTCAATATTTATGAGGAACTGAGGAATTTGACGGAATTTCTGAAAAATCACCTGAAAGCGATAGGAAAAAAACATATGTAGATATTGGACGTGTATATGTCAGAATAATTTCTTCCTCTTCTCTATACATACGCGTATATAAAACTTTCTCTATAATAAATTATGTCATCATCTTCAAGACCCACTGTTAACGATAATCAGCTAAAAAAATTATTGTCAGTTAATTCAATTCAACATAAACGCGGTGCTGAATCAGTATTAAAACCAATTGAATCAATCAATAAAGAAAAAATTATGCTTTTGATGCGTGAATGTTTAAAGAATGATTCAATTCAGAAGGAAATTACGAATATAGTCAAAATTAATGACGATGACGTTGAAAAATCAATCGAAAAATCAACAGATCAAATCTTACTTAAAGCAGTATTGAATGAAATCAATGATCGCTTAAATATAATTAATCAACAAATACAGGAATATTAAGAACATCAATTAAAGACTGAGCTCAAGTTAGATGATATTGAACGACGTTCACGTAGTTATAATCTTAGATTTTATGGTATTCATGAAGATGAAGACGCAAAGAAACAAATTGTCAATATTGCACGCGGAATGAATATTCCACTTTCAGCTCAAGATATCGAGGTGGTTCACGGTCTTGGGGCTAAACAAAATGGTAAACATCGCGCGGTTATCGCTTGCTTTTATTCCAGGGAAGCGCGTTACGCGCTTTTGACATCCGGAAAATTCATACAGCAATTACAAAGCAGAAAATTGTATATTTTTGAAGATTGCACGGATCGCACAATGATTTTATACAATTCATTAAGATCTAAATTGAATGAAGCATCTAAGCATTTCGTTTATATCAGAAATGGTCGTGTTTTGTATAAAACAAGCTTAAATGAAAAATCTAAACTAATTTCGAAAGAGCAAGATATTAATCTTGTTACTCAATCGTTTTCATCCCAGCAAAAGCATCAACAATCAGCTGTTTGAATGCGAAATGTCACCACGTGTTTTAAGTCATGGTATGTCAAAATCAGTTATCTTTTCTTTGTTTGTTCGTTTTCTCACTCTTACGTTTATTCTTCTTCCAGTCCAAGTTGTTCTTTATATTTTCTTTTACCGTCGGCTGATGTCAAACCTTCGATGCTTTATATGTGTCAGTGTGTATAGTTGAGGTTAGTATTCTTACTGTACGTACATTCCACGATTCCACGTCATTACAGACGATGATAAAAATTCGTCTCTTTTCCTCTCTATTCTATATAAACGATGTTGATGTTAAATTTAACACACTATCCAGCTGCATACTAACAGCAGCAAGAAGATCTATTCCATCCAAGACAATTCTTTTGAGACAAAGAGATAAACCTTGTTTCACAGATAATCTCCGTTCTTTGTATGTCAAACGCAATCGTTTATATCACAAATATAAAAAAGCGCTTCGAGCAAACTGCTCTGCGAACTTAAAGTCTATAACTGAGTCTTATCGCTCATCAGCTAGGTTTTTTTCTGAAGCGTGTGAGAAGGAGAAAGTAAATTATTTTGAGCGGATAAATGAGATTGATGTTAGTAACAGAAGTTGGTGGAAATTATTGAAATCATCTATGGGTCGGAGAGTCAGTTCTAGTATACCAAGTCTAAAAAATAAACATACCCAATGGATTAATGACAACTATGGAAAAGCCGAGCTTCTGAATGAACATTTTGCGTCAATTTGTACAATGTCACCAATTAATGACAAGCTACCTTTTACGGCATTCTTAGAGACATCAAAAGAGACACTGGATCATATTACCATTTGCGAAATGGAGATTGAAAAAATTATAAATAATTTAAGTATTTTTTAAAGCCTCTTCGGATACTCTTACAACGCGGATGCTGCGAGAATCAAGCCTGTTTATTTCTGATGTTCTAAGAGATATATGTCAGCAAT